TCTGCTTTGAAAGAAAATGCTGGGGTTGTTTTTTCATGCAGGCTCTTCTAGCTTCAGGGCTGAATTTTGCAAGGATGGGCATAGTAGGAGGATGTTAGCCAGGTTCAGTTTGGAATGAGTGTGAGCACTGGAGTATGGAACAAGGTTTGTCTTGGTCCTTTGTAAGAAGGTGACTTTCAAGGAATGACCAGTGCCCAGGGATCCCACGGGAACAATTGCCTCCGAGAAACAAAACAACTCAAGCACAGAAAACAGAAACTTCACTGACAACGAACATAGTTTCCATGTGAGAAAAACCCATACGTACAAATGCTTTAAAGCAGCCAGGAGACAAGGCAATAAAAACTGCATTCAAATCTTCGAATGTCACTCTGTCACGTCAGCCAGTCTCACCAACAGACTTTGCCAACAGACTCAGAATATACGGACAGATAAATGCCAGCAGCTATTTGGTATAGAAACAGACACAGGACTGCTAGTTACATGATCACTTTAAATTCCCTATTTTAGTCTATTAAGAATGTATTCACAGTAGACGTTATACTAACTGTTTTCATCTGCATTTGCAGGCAGTCTATACTACACTACTGTATGTGCACTTCGGTTTTCTCCCAGATGGAGTTTTGAGAATGGAACTCCTGTTGGATCGAGCCCTCTGGGGCTAATTGATAAAATCTTGTAAAAGATTTTTAAAGTCTTGAAACTGATGGTCTGTTGTAAAATGGCAGCAATAAAACACAACTCCGCTGTGTTAGAAAATTAAATAAAAAGCTGTGTGTTCCTTTCATGCATGTGCAGCCAAAGCCAAAAATGAAACTGAAGATGATTCTACGTTACCAGAATATCCAGGTACAGTGGCTGAAATCTGGGCATTCTTGAGGTCACTAACGACATAGTTTGAGGAGACAACGAATTATGATTTAGGATTCTTTGATCTGGCTGAGAAATGTCATAAGCACATGATCCACTACTTTTTGCACAAATGTGCTAAGAATTTTGGCAGCCTGACCCTGCCTCAGCAGGCTTTATGCCAGAACAGCACGGGTTACCTCTGGGCCAACACTATTTTATGCTGGATCGCGTATGGCTTGTCCTCTAGCACCTGCTTCAAGCTGGCAGAAAGCACGAAGCTGGCACAAGCGCCACATCACATGTCCGTGCCTGACCCAGCAGAAATGTGAACCACTGGTTGAACCAGTAGCATGTAGTCAGAGCATGGCTGGTAGTTCAGCCGCCGTCTGGAGTTCTGCCACTGACTGCCAGGGGCCCTAAGCTTCTACCCGCTCATTTCACATGTTTAAAATTTGCACACAAATCAAAGTCAAGTTCAGTAAAGTACAAAGAAATGTGACAATTTCTTCCTGTCTTCTATTTTGCCAGTCATGCTGGATTACAAACACCAATTATTCAATCACTTTACAATGCTCTTTAAATAAACTACATAACTGATCAATTAACACGTCATTACTGACAATAACACCATACTATTCAATCTTTAAGGAAACAGAATACAAAGGTATTAATACTAAGAGAATAGAACTGAATAGTAAATACATGAAACTATACTATCTCTTAGCCAATGATACATTATTCAACCCTGGCTCTTTTAAATTGAATTATATTATCATCAGAACCTCTGAAGACCTTAAGCACACATGTAAGTATATTCCAGATTATGGATGACTTTTTACATCCTATATTTGCAAAATTAATGAAATTTTATACCGAGTATTATTTCTTCTCATTTGTCTGGTGTACAGTCTGTACTTAGAAATAACTGGGTACTTTAAGAATTTCTTTGAACATTAACAATATTCTCAATTAAATTCACCCTATTTATTTCTCATACAAGCAACTATCAGAAAAATCTGGCTTTTAAATTCAAGGTAACAAAATCAATCCTAAACTTCCCTGGCCATTGTGAAAGGATTAAACTACTCTTCCTTTGCCTATACTCCAATTCAAAAAAGGGCATCCTCCAAGAAACATCACACTTGATTCTGAAGAATCCCACAGGGATATTAACTGCTGGTAGAGCAGACCTAGCAAGGAGAACCTAAGAGATCTACAGTCCAACCTGAACTTTCCTTAGGGAATGACATTTTCCCTACTAGGTGATGGGAAAGCTTCTGCATCATCATGTAGTGTTCTCCAGCCACACCAAGGCTGCACCTAGCCCTGAAGCTACACTAACTGGCAACTGCTGAGAACAGAGTCCGAAATATTCAGTTTCTTCAAGGCAAAAAACCTCCTGCCCTCTGGTCTTTATGAAATACAAAAGCTCTAAAAGAATACTACCGGGATTTTCAACTGATACCGGGGTGGGATAAATCTCATTTCAAGCATAGATGCCTTCATACAGGCTATAGATCTAAACTAGTCACCGCACTCAGTGAGGTCCACTTATCTAGTTAGCTGGCCAAGTGCAAGTGTCAGCTTTACGATGAGGTGGGCTGCTCTCCAGGCTCCACTGATCGTGTCAACTGTATCTCCACAAACTACAGCAGGAGTTTCGACTGATTTTTGATAGATGTTGCTCTAATTCTTTTTTTTATCTGTCTGCTGTGGTAAACTCATATATTTTCTGTGAAACGGAGGAAGAAATGAGGAGCGTAGGGGTAAAAAGAAATCCAGAAGAAACAAAAAATTTGCAAAATACCTGCAAAGGCACCACAGCATGCATACAAAATCTAATCTCAGTAAACACTATGCTATTTTAGCAACAAAATGCACACTTTTTTTTCAAGTTCTGGAAAGAAAAATCTTTTTGAAAAATTCCGAAAGTCATCCTCAACATACAAAAAGAGCTAAAACGGAGATGTTTTCACCCAAACCCACAATTCTAAACAGAGCTATTGCTACATGACCCGATGCTGATAGGATTTTTGCTAGCAGGAACGTTTTGTCATCAAAAGCTAATAGGTTAAATACCACAAATGCCTTTAGGAAGCAGCAAAGGCCTATTTTTCTGAACCAACAAAAAGAATGTGCTCTAGAAGTGATTACAGAGCATGGATATGTAATCTAGTAATTTCATGCCCTGCATCTGTAAGTCTCCAAAATGCCATTACTCGGTGCTAAATTAATTTAAGCAGACTTAATCAAATGAAAGCACTGGGTAACTAACACAAACTAGAATTTCCTGAGTCATTATTTTCTATTTTCCGAAACCTAACATCTTATGCTGATTCTACTGGCTAATTGTAACTGGCAGGTCATTTGCAGAGCAGTAAAAGCAAACCACTTCAGGATGAGTACAATAAATTTAATGCATTCATTTGTGATCTTTAACTCACAAAAACATTCTAAGAGATTTATTTCTCAGGTCAATACTAGTTTCTTTATGACCATGCCTTGCTGACCATGACATATTAGGACATATATTCAGGTAAAAACTCGAAAAAATAAAAGAAATACAGACTAAGTCAGTTTTAAGTAGACCATTAGGAGTTTGCCTGAAATTTTTAGCATTATTTTTCTTTAGTTCTTTTCTATAGGCAGGGTTAGGTCTTAGTGTTATTTGTACCTGAAGAATTTCTTTGAAAGCGCTTGGGTTACTATAGAACAACAAGGGAAAATTTAGCCCATTATGAATAAATTGGCTTTCATCTTTTGTTTTCCAAACACGCTTCACAGGCAGACTTAAATTCTCCTCATTTTACTCAGACAAATACGTTTGAAGAAGCTTTCTGGTGTTTGTATGACCAAGCCTGAATCAGAGTTTGCTAAGTAAACTGAGTAAAGAAGTCATCTGCATTTCTCCCTCATACTGAAGCCTGGGTGTCCACAGGTGGTTGGTTCACAAACCAGTGGATTCAGTCCCAGCAGCCCAGAGTTCATTCTCCATGGATGTTCCCAAAAGCGTTAGCACCACTTTGAGAGGTAATAAGGGGAAAATCTAACCTGGTTTATTCAAGACCTGAAAAGACATGTTTACTGAATGTCAGTGAGGCTCAGCCATCAAAACAACCTATAAATATATGGTCACCGATATACATTGTACTTTGGAGTCTTTTGATGATTCCTTGTCTTTTTACATCCTTTTGGGCCTCAATTCAGCAAAATACTTCAGCACAGTACTTAATGAAAAGCACAACCTGTTTCCACTGGATCTGAAGTGTGCTTTTGGGTGATTTACTGAATCATAGCCTGTATCATTAAAGTTTCCTTTCAAATTAAACATTTTTCAAGAGAACCAGAAACCAGGAAACTCAAGAAGATTCTCTAAATTTTATTCCACTGAAAGGAAAGAACAGGGAGGAAGCACCAAAACTTATCGTCCACCAAGGCATTGAATGTAGCTGAATATTTTAGAGGCTTCAGTCTTACGACATTCACCCGACATTCCTAGTCCAGGTTTACAAAGCTCAGCTCTGACAAGTTGTGAAAAAAAAATAAAGCCAAAATTCAACAATTATAAAAAAGGCAACAGAATTAATTCACACTAAACTGGTGATCAGTCTGTAAATAACAGGTAAGTGAGGTATCAAAAAGCAGGTAACACTGTCTTTCCAGTTTCCTGTTCACTGACAATTGGTTTCTGACGGGAGTTTGCTTCTTTTCAGGTTTGCACTGAGATTTACCACCAAACACGTGCAATCTACACTGTCATTTTCCAAACGCCTTCTTGTTACACATCACCCAAAAAAAACAGAAAATAGAAGTACATAACAAAGAGGCAGAGAATTAAAGAGGATGAAAAAAATAAATGTCAGATCCACTCACACATGCAAATTGATGTGAACCACAGACCTTAGCGGAGTATATGTCAATTTATGTCTAATAAGGCCTGGTCAAAAATATTTCCATATAAAAGGAACGTATGATGTACGAGCCTACAAAATCATCACAACGCAAATCATTAAGTTGCTATCGTATGATGAGAGTGGAAGCATAATGGTTATTAAAATGGCTTTTACTTAAATGGCTTCAGTTTTAATGAGGCTTAATGCATACCTTCACAGGAGCTTGGCAAAGAAAGGACAACATAAGTTTCTTACCTGAGATTTTATTGGTTTTGTTTTGTCTACTCTTAACTTGCTCAGTCCATAACGTAGGATAACGAGAAGCTATATCTAGAGAAAAGAACAACAGAGAAAAGTTTGCAAATGTTACAATTTTTTTAAAAGCTTCTTGCAGCTGAATAGTAAGTGGCTAGTTTTAAAGATACATGGATCTAAAAAAACAAAAGGGCACACTGGTTTGTGTCAGAACAGTTAAAACCTTTGTTCATGCAAAGGCATTAATAGTTCCTTCCTTACCCCATTCATACAAAAGGTTGAAAGAAATACTTTTAGACTAAAATCATGTTCAATCAGAATAAAAATCTTCCAGTGTGGACCCAAAACATGTAATATATTCAGATCAGACTCCGTGACATTTGCAGTGAGTGGTAAGGCAGTCACAGTATAGGACTATCATTGCATGTAGGCTTTGAGCTTTCCATCTACAGAGCACTGAATTTCCCCAGAGGCAGCTAAGCCTGACAAAACATCAATCTTAATATTACTAGGCTATAGGCTGAGGACAGAATTTACACTTTATGGTCCTTATTTGGTCATAGAGTTTTAACCTGCACCCTGGCTCAAGTTTAAAACCTGTCTCTGCGCTGAGCAGTGGCGATTAAAATCACTGATGTTGGACTCCATAGCTACAGTGTCATCTCAAAAGCATCACACAAAATTCGTTGCTTGTGAGTGGAGACTCTATTGCGTTTGCTGTCTTTATCTGGAAAAAGGTACAGATGCTTGCAATTTCTTGCAGCTGCCCCAGCAGTTGCCCTAACTCTTACGGCAGCATTTGACGTTGTGGTGCACAGCCCATACTGCCCAGTTTAATACCGCACTGTGAAGTTCCTGTTGATGCTCACCTTCTTCATCACCTTGGGGCTGAGTCTCCAGCGCGGGAGCTGAGGCATCATCTGAATTCAGAATGGAAAAGATTTGCAAGGAGACTACAATTATGAGAGTAAGCTAAATAAGTGTACATACGTGATTGATACTAATGATTTGCACATAGCCCCGGCCGGTAAATAAACAATAAATTAAACATTATTTACAGGTATTACACAGCATAGATCTATTACATTTACAGACTGAGGATTATAAAGGGATGGCTTTTGAGGTTAAGGCTGATGAAATGATTGGAGGGTCTGTGATGAGGCATGAAGTGATCAGGTTGCTCTCTGGACAGTAGTTCTTCGTTTTAGATGTTGCACATTGATACCTATAAATTATAACAGATTAAATGAGTGTTTCTAAAACAGCAGTTAGATTAACGTATAGAAGGGGTAAGACCTGTGAAAGCAAAAGCAGTTTGGGGCGAATGAGTGGCTGCAGACACGTTGACACCTGAAAAGGAAAGGGAAGTTTTCTTTTGACACAGCAGGATCTATTTAACAATCAAGCTGATTTTATGAGCAAGATTCACAGATTAAAAACCCAGAATATTGTTTGCATATTTCTTATCCTCTGGCCAGCTGTCTCCATCCATCCACTACCAACGATTACTGCAAAAAAAGAGGGAGGAAAATTTACAGAAAATATAAGAGGATGTGGTTAATTTTAGGTTCAGTAAAACCCAGTGGAAGTAGTGCTGGAAAAGAAAAATTCAAAATGAAAAGTAATTTAAGTTAGCATTATGTGAGACAGAGCAGTACTCAAAGACCCATCTTTACCTTATTAAATTTTTTCATTTAAAATTATTTCAGATATTGGATAAATATTACTTAGGAGGCCTTGCTAGTACATATTATCCAGCTATTGCTGTTTCCTGTAGCATGGAGCTAACTCCAAGACGAAGATGTCCCATGGTAAACAGCACCTTCCAGGCAAGGGGTTTATGAGCACTTCCTGCAGTTTCACAACTGGATCTCAGACCAACATAGCTTCCAGGTCATTTTCCTGCCATTTTCATGGCAGCTAGCACCAAATGTATCCGAGAAGCTTCCTCTTGCATGTAGCCCTACCAGGGTAGCAGTGAGCAGCAGCTTCCAGGCTAACGCATGATCTGTTTCCATTCATTCTTGCCAGTCCAGTTCAGAACAATCTCTTCCTGCTCTCTTTGTTGTCACCATCACAGGTTTGGGGTTTTTTTGTAAATCTGTGTTGTCTTTATGCGAATCATGCCGAGGATTTGGAGGCACTCTGACTTTCACTCCTGGAGGCCACAGCCTAGCTCACAGCAAATACAGATACCAGGTAAATACTGACAGCAGGTAAAACCAGATTTGCAGCCATGGAACACTAACCTCCATGCTCTTCACAAAACAAAAGCAGCAGCAATAGAAACCTATTTTCACTGCAAAATGTTTTAACCAAAGCATAAGGAAACATCTTTTAAGTATGTTCATTCCTCACGTCCACTCAATGATAGGATACTTTGCTCCAATGCCGTAACAGTCACTTCCCATTAGTTTTGACAGCATTTTTGCAGTGTCCTCTGGGTGGTGGAATAAGACCATTGATTAATTTCAGAGAGGCTATCAAGTGTCCTAGTGTACTGGGAACGAAGACATATATTTAGGTCATCAGTCAATATGTGATTCAGAATACCCAGAATTTCAGAGGGTACCTTATGGTAGGTAAATATGACCAAGACCCCAGCCAGAAACTCAATGATGGGTTTAAACGACATTTTTCTAATCATCTTTTGGTACACAATTGCAGTTTGTAACACTTTTGATCTTGTGTTATTACCTGAAATTCAGACATAATGCTGCAATTTTAGTGATTATCAGTCCAATCAAAATTAGCCTCCTGAACTTTGTTCAAGCAGCATTTAAAACAGTTTACCAATTTTATTTTTTTAAAAAAACTCAACAGATGTTTAATGATTGAGTCATAAAATTTGCCTCAGGTCCCCCCCCCAGCCAAAAGAAAGAAAGATGTTTGCTTCATCCATGAACCAAACCTTCGGTACAGGATATTTGTATAATCTAAAAGGTACCAAAATCACTCCAGAACTGGAGGAGCTACAACAGCTCCTGAACTACCCTTGATCTGCAGGAAGACACCCACATTCATTTTGTGTTTTCACTGCCGGATAAACCATTTTTTCATAAAAACCTTCTGTGTCAAGAATGAAGAGGCTTTTGGCATTCCATTGTTCAAAACGGTATTCGATAGTCACCACAGTAGAGCAGTTCATCTTCATGTTAATTAGATATCTCACAGGTTAATTGCATAGGTCTTGTCCAGCTGGCACATGCATACCAGTCCATATGTTCACACATTTAAACAGAAACCATTCTGACTGCTGTCAGAGTTCAGCTGCCAAGAACATAGTCCTGCAGTCAGCTAAGAATCAGGAAAAAGGGATGTGATCCCATTTCTGACACCTGTGCTTTTCAGATAGTCTGAATAACTTTTTCGGATAGAGGGGGAACTGGAGGCCCAGGGAAGATCCATTAGGAATTATCTTTCAAGCTTTACTCCTGTTTGGTTTAATGTGCAAATTCGCAAACGTGCAAACAGAGCTCCTGGCCTCCAAAATCTGCAGCTGGAACTTTTCTTTCAGTATTGGTATACCCGGAAAAAGCGAGGTGCACAACTGCAACAGATATGGTCCGCCAGGTCACCTGCTCCTTTGAGTCTCTGTGGGACATCTTGGAAGAAGAGACTGTCTCAGGCTAAGTTTATGCTGTCTCTTGAGTAGAGTCCTCAAAACCACACTTGAAAGTCTAATCTGAACCACGTCCTCTGCTGCAGTGAGAACATCTTGAACCTGTCTAAGGTTGCTGGATTACAACATGGGCAGGTACCCCCATCCAGTCTTATATATGGGATAGTTCCTTCAGTTCAAAGCTGAAAATTAAAGTCCTGACCTAAAGCAAATGGGTAACCTAAGTTTAGTGGAACCTACAATTTGTCTGGAAATACATGAAGGAAGAATTTTCCAGTACTTTGTAGTCATTAGCCTTTAAAGTACTACTGATTTTCTTAACCTCACAGCGCAATAGTTTATTTAAATGTTGGGTATATTACAATGCTGCAAAAGTTCCTGTAAAAAAAAAAATTCAATTATATTCACAGTGGACCAAATAGATAGTCATTAACATTAGCATGAATATGAGTATATTCTTTAAAGTTAATTTATGCCAGTGTAGCTGACAGCAACATTTAGTCTGCTATTTTCAGCTGAATTTAAAATTCTTTGAAACATTTGGAGAGTGTAAGGTTCAATTTTTTTTTAAAGCATAGACATCTCCTTCATTTAAATCTACCAGCTGTGTCGGAGTTGCATCAGATTTTGCCCTGTCAACAAGATATACACCATGATCTGTCTCTAACAACAACAATCATCTGGTCATGAATGTAAGCCATCCGATGAATTAATCACAATATAGAGCTAAGTGCTGGGTCCAAGATGACTCAAGCACTGATTGCCATGGAAGTAAAGTGAGGACTCCAGTTCCCGAGATTTGGGGACAGCCGAATGCTGTCTTTATCAAACAGACAGCATAATCTGTCCTCCAGGGCAAGCAAACTGTATGGGAAAATATTTCAGAGTATCACTACGGGGAGAAAAATTATCCTCCAAACAGCACAGAATAGCAAAGTCTGTAGGGTTGAGACCAGAAAAATACGTCTATGCGTATCTAGGCAAATACATGCATACTTTTACATAGGTTTATAATCATAAGTTTACTAAATATCTGCAATGCAGACATAAAATGAATAGCATGTATGCATGTATATATATTATATATGCAGCTATAATTTATGTTGAATATATATTGATCATTTAAACCTACAGAAAATTGTGGTGGTGTGTCCCACAGCTATTTTAGTTTCCATTTGAAGGCCAACTAAGATATTTACCTGTTTTTCCTGCACCTTCTCGTTGTGGCAGCTTCTCACTCACTGAACCTGCAATTGGAAAAAGGAATTAACCAGAAAAATGTTATTTTCACTTTTAATGCATTTTCTAAGAAACACAGTTCAGCTTTAACGATTTATTTTTGTTTATGGCAGCAATATCAGCAAACTGTTCCCCTGCAAACCAAATATCTTACAAAGATCTCCTACAAAGCCTTCTGGAAACCCTGTGCTGGGGTGGGGAAGTGTCCATGCTGGGGGAGGCAGGGACAGCCCCCTACTCCGAGTTTGAGCCCTCGCTGGTTGCAGGAGCCGTCCCCAGAGCTGTGGCCCTTTGGGAAGGAGTCAGCAGCGGTGGACAGGGACTGAAGAAGTTGGCAGGAGATGGATTTTACCAGCTTGTTCTACTAGCCTGTACTCCAACCCAACCCAGCATCCAGAGTTGATTTCAAATCATCAAGAAATGGAGATTCTACTGGTTTTCACAGCAGTTTTTACAGCAAGTAGGTGTTCTTACGGTTTAAAACAGAAATACTTCCTTATTTCTTGCTTATGTCTTGTTATTACTACCGTTTGGTTGATTCTAACTCCTGGCCATTTCTTCTCCACATACCTATCTCTGCTGCGATAAAAAGCACCTTGAAAAGTGGCATTTTTGTCTCTGAAGAGCCACATGGAGAGACCCAAAATGAAAAAGCGTAATGTCTATCAATTCTTACCACGTAGTCTCTTCTTACGTACACCTGCTTTAATGAAAAAATCCCACATCTGACAGATGCTTGGAATTGTGTGAAATAATTTGGTTGCCTTCATTTTCTTAATTTATTTCCCTCTGGAATAACCAGATTCACTGGCTTTAAAACAAACAAACAGAAAACCCCAAACCTTGCAGCACAATAAATCTATTCCAAAGGGACAATTTAAAGAAGAGAACGTACTAAATGACAGGCCTTGTTCACCATGCTGAGCTGATGGTTGCTTCAGCATGAAGTTTAGATGCAGGGGTCTGCCAGGGGGAAGGCAGCTAACATTACCAATCTAGCGTCCTGATTTTAAAGCCTCCGTAAAAGAATACACGACAACGCAGCCAAGCTGGTATTGCCTTCTGAGGGATTCAGCCTTTAATACAGCTGTGATAGATCCGTATCAAAAATAGCCTATTTCAGCCTGGTTTCTTCTTTTGGTGGTAGTGTTTTTTATTGTCTTGTGTTTGAATCGCCAGAAATTCAATACAGAATCATAGAATCATAGAATGGTTTGGGTTGGAAGGGACCTTAAAGATCATCTGGTTCCAACCCCTCTGCCATGAGCAGGGACATCTTCCACAATATATTTAGTGATTCATCATTATTAATATCAGACAGGAAAAATAAAGTCATCATCATTATAGGAATTACATCCAAGGGTGTTTGGGGACAGCTTGCTCTAAATAGACCACGATACTAATCCGTGTTGGTCACTCTGAGGAGGGCGCAGATTCACCCATTTCTGCTAGCTGAAGCCAGAAGATCTGAACTTTTTGCTGCCTAGCTCAAATTTGATAAGAGGCTCAGCTTGAACTCAAATAAGATGTTCCAGTTTTAGGAAGCATTGCATATAAAATTACAGGTTTTTCTAATTGCACTAAATACCAGTAATCCAGTCTTCCCTCAGATTCCACCCAGTTACAATTAACTCTGTAGTTTCTCAATTTAATTTTGATGCACTGGCATAGAACTATAATTCTCTTGCAAACAGAGATTTCAGGTCTGACTCTCATCCACACTAATGCATTTTACACCAATCTGTGAGTAGAAATGAGAGCTCGGCATGGGGAATAACTGTGATGAATTGTCACTGATAGCCCCTTTCACTAAAAAACTGCTAAGCAAAGCCTCACAGATACCAGTGTTGTCTCTCCAGGTACCTGCAGAACCACTATTAAAAATTGAACTTAAAATTCAGTCTCTACCTAATTTAACACATTGGTGAAATTTATGTAATATTCCAAATCTTAAATCAAAAGCAGAAATGTCATTCCAGATTTCGTTAACACCAAGATACCTTCAGATTACTCCATCTGCACATGAAACGGTGAGAAATAATGACTACATGATATTCACGTACAGTCAGGGAGAATTTAAATCTTTTTTCTATGCTTTGCTGTTTGTCGCCCTAAATTTTGACGGAAAATTGATGGATGGAGGAAGAGAGTGGCATGCACAAAGGCTAACTTTATCATAGTGAATCTAATTTCACTAAGAAATTAGAGGAATGCTAGGAAAATTAGGTTAAGCTGGCTAACATCATTTTTTCAATAGTCATAGGAAGCTAACAAAAAAATTCACAAAATTTCCTGCAACGGGAACATGGTGCCCTTCACATAGTTTCACCTGAAATTTTCAATTTATGCAGCAGAAACATTTCTTGTTGTCGAGTTGGAGGTGAGGAGGGGTTATTGAGCTTGTATCAGTTTTTTCTACCATTTTCTGAACATATCTAAGGTAGAAGCACTTCTAACTGAAATGGTGATATCTGCATTTTCAAGTTTCGAGGAAATTGCATCTTCAATACTCACGACGAATGCTCATATTTTCAGCTAGGCAAGAAACAGAAATAGCAACTTCTAACTTCTCTAAAAGTTAGGCGATACAATCAGCTTCCAAGTTTCAGTGCACTGTAAGCAACCCAATCACCTCATAAATCTATTTATGGAATGGGAGAGGGCAAAGAAGGATATTAGATTCAGCAGCATTATTTTAACAAGAAGAATTTAGTACCATTCTAGCCTGTACATTTGCTTAGCCATCTATCCATTTATGATTCTGATTAATTTAAAAACAAACAAAAAAAAAAGCAGAAATATTCATGTCTTAGTCTACTGCAAACCCCACAACTCCACTCAGTTTTGGTCTGACAACTCCTGAAGCACAATAAACCTTCCAGGAAAGGTGACAGGAGTTTGGTGCTTTGTGATCCATTTTCCATAGTTCTGAGCATATGTGACTGAGCTTTAAAAGAGAAGGTAAAATCTGTTATTATCGTATAGTTTAGATAATGGTTTCTGATCTCCTACTAAAGAATATTTGATATGTTATCACTGAATGCAGATATCAAGCAACAGGAAAGAAAACTTCCCTTGCTCTTCTTTATTTCACGTATGGGTTTGTCTGACTGTGTATGTATAGGGAAAGTACTATGTATGGGGACAGGAGATCTAGAAAAATCGAGGACACACATTCTTCCCAGCTAAAAAAAGCAATAGAATGTAAATTTTAAAATTTCGTTGCTTCCCATATATATTTGTTTTTATCACATTATCTGGTGATAATACTGTACAGACAGGAAGACTTCTGAATTTTTAAAGGTATTTGCATTTTGGCCTTAAAAAATGATCATGCCATCCTAATTGTAAGATAGCAAAACTGCTTCACAAAATAATAAAACATGCCTCTGTACCTCTGCAATCTCACTACCAGATGCCCAGAATAGTTAACAGGGCATGAAAACCCTGCAATAGGCGAACACTGTATTTCACAATGACAATTTAACACCTGCTTCTCAATTTCTGACCTATTTCTCAGGACCCAGAGCCCATGGAATTTTGACAGTTCCCTAAAGTACTGATAACAGAGATGGGGAGCTGTAAAAATGTCTTTTTTATGTCTGGTGTTCTTTAGTGAAAGCACTGGGGGACATTCATCATTTTTAAGGAGCTTTCTTTTCAGTGCTGTCATGGGAATGTGTTTGATTTACTCTCCTTCTCACTGCTGCTCCTGCAACGGCGGACATGGTTTCCACGGAGCGGAATGGCATTCTGAGATTTACCATGTGTGTTTTAGCAGTACCAAGTGTTGGTGTGGGAATAACTGGAAAGGGTGGAAGAGCAGCCGCTTTCAGCTAAAGATTTAGTAATCAAAGCAAATGTTTTACATAAATCAGTTGGGGAGTCCTGCCTTTTTTAATGCTGCTTATAACCTCCATCCTTCCACAACTTGAGTCTCTAGTGAAAAAGGCAGCTTCATTAAGAGCAACCAGAACAACACAATGAGCAAAAAAATGTCTCATACAGCTATTGTAGATGTATAAACAACACACATGTGACAGTTTTCCACCCCAGGACCAGAGATAGCTTTAGAAAGCATCATATTATGCAGCTACCCAATATTAACAGTTAGATAAACTTAGAGGTTGTTTCACCCATCCAATATCACATAGCAAATGTGAAACAAGGATAGGGGATGGAGTCGGGAAACCAAATTCCTAACTGCCCACCCTAAATCCTGTTCCATATTTTGTCTATTAAAATCCAAGTTATTCCAGGCTGCCATGCTCTTCTTTCATATTTCTAGACATTCACCAAGGTCAAAGCTGATTCTGCTAGGAGAAAATGAAAGGCAAGGAATTATCCCATCATTTAGGAACAGCACAGTTAATGAGACACGTATTCAAACCTTCTCTGAAGTTACTGAAGAACTAACCTAGAATTGAAAAGAAACACTGAACATTTTCATTAAAAATAGAAAATTGCATACATTCCATGCTATCACGTTTCCTATGAGAAAATGATTACCAAAGCACGTTCACAATTGACTCTACCTGTCATCTCGATTGTCTGCGCACATTCTCCTCTAAAGGGGAAAGGTGGCAAAAGTCATCCTGGGAGAAAAAAGTCTGGCACACGCAAACTGAAAAATCTGCATAAATGTCTTTGAAACAGCTATAGCATCATGCCTGTAGAAGACATAGAAGCAAGTGAAAATACATAAACTTGCTGGTGTCAGGATGCCACTGCTGCAGGAGATCTGCCCACAATATCAAAAAAATAGCAAGGCAATGCCTGCAACAAGGCCAGCAATGACACGAGGTGTCTAGGGACAATAGTGTTGAAAGAAATGGCATCCCTGAAACATAAGTTGAAACAGGAGCACATCTACTCAGCTCCATTCTACAATGATAGAATCATAGAATCATAGAATGGTTTGGGTTGGAAGGGACCTTAAAGATCACTTGGTTCCAACCCCCCTGCCACGAGCAGGGACATCTTCCACCAGACCAGGGTGCTCAGAACTCCATCCACCCTGCCCTTGACCCGTGCAAGGAAGGGGGCAGCCACAGCTTCTCTGGGTAACCTGGACCAGTGTTTCACCACCCTCATGGGGAAGAATTTCTTCCTAATATCTAAATCTGCCCTCTTTTAGTTGAGAGCCGTTCCCCCTTGTCCTATCACTACACACCCTTGTGAAAAGCCCCTCTCCATCCTTCCTGTCGGCCCCTTCAGGCACTGGCAGCTGCTCTAAGGTCACCCCGGAGCCTTCTCTTCTCCAGGCTGA